GCGTATACTTTAGATCTCTTGTCCTTGTTCTTAATCATCGAAGGAAGTATCACGTTCCTCTTCTCCATTCCGTTGAAATCGGATCTTCCTCGATCTTCTGCTTCCATTTCTTCACCTTCACCATCACCTTTCTTCCTCTTGAAACCCATTTTTTACAGACCGAAGAACAAAAATCTCCTCTCGAGATGAAAAAACGGCAAACGAAGATTGAAGACGATGGAGAATTTAGGGTTTATCGACTAAGAAAATCGAAAACCTTAATGGGCCTAGGCTTGGGCCCATTATTCTAAAAATCATTTTACTATACTTCGGTACTAAACGACGTCGTGTTCATTTTATAGCTTTCGTCTCCGTCTCTCTGCAATGCGATGCGACATGGAAGAGCAAGAAGCGCCGTATCAGCTGCGATTTCCGGTCTAACTCCGGCGACAAAACCACCGTTTACACAGCTTTGTAATGTCCTTCTCGTCGCGTCTCTGTCGAAGACCTTGTCTCAATCAGGTACACGGAGTCTCGACGCGGATTCGGTTCCGATTTCGGAACCTGTCGTCCTCCAGATCCTTCGTCGGAACTCTTTAGATCCATCGAAGAAGCTAGATTTCTTCCGATGGTGTTTTTCACTCCGTCCTGGATACAAACATTCCGCATCAGCTTACTCTCAGATGTTTCGTACTGTTTGCCGGACAGGGCTGATCGGAGAAGTTCCCGATCTGCTTAGTTCGATGAAGGAAGATGGCGTCAATTTGGACCAGACAATGTCTAAGGTATTGCTGGATTCCTTAATCCGTTTGGGTAAGTACGATTCAGCGTTAGGAGTTTTGGATTACATGGAGGAATTAGGAGATTGCTTAAACCCTAGTTTATATGATTCTGTTCTTATTGCTCTGGTGAAGAAAAATGAATCGAGTCTTGCTTTGTCCATTTTCTTTAAGCTTTTAGAAGCTTCTGATAACAATAGTGAGAATGGAACTGTTGGGGTTAGTGTAAGTTATCTTCCTGGAACGATTGCTGTGAATGAGCTCTTGGTAGGTCTAAGAAAAGCCGATATGAGATTGGAATTTAAAAGGGTTTTTGATAAGTTAAAGGGAATGAAAAGATTCAAGTTTGATACTTGGGGTTATAACATATGTATTCATGTATTTGGTTGTTGGGGAGATTTGGATGCTGCATTGAGTTTGTTTAAAGAGATGAAGGAGCAAAGCTCGGTCGCTGGATCTTTTTCTATTGGTCCTGATATATGCACGTATAATAGCTTGATCCATGTGTTGTGTTTAGTTGGAAGAGCGAAAGATGCTTTGATTGTATGGGATGAACTAAAAGTATCTGGCCATGAGCCTGATAATTCGACCTATCGTATATTGATCCAAGGATGTTGTAAATCTTACCGGATGGATGATGCAATGAGGATTTTCGGTGAGATGCAGTATAACGGGTTTGTTCCTGATACGATCCTGTATAATTCCCTTTTAGACGGGATGCTCAAGGCAAGAAAAGTCACTGAGGCTTGTCAGTTGTTTGAGAAGATGGTTCAAGAAGGAGTTAGAGCTTCCTGCTGGACATACAACATACTGATTGACGGGTTATTTAGGAACGGAAGAGCCGAGGCTGGATTTACTCTCTTCTGTGACTTAAAGAAGAAGGGTCAGTTTGTCGATGCGATTACTTTTAGCATTGTTGTGTTGCAGCTTTGCAGGGAAGGGAAGCTAGAAGGGGCAGTGAAATTGGTGGAAGAGATGGAAACTAGAGGTTTCTCTGTGGATTTGGTTACAATTAGTTCACTCTTGATCGGATTTCATAAACAAGGGAGATGGGATTGGAAAGAGAAGCTGATGAAGCACGTACGGGAAGGAAACGTGGTGCCTAATGTTCTGAGATGGAATGCTGGAGTGGAAGCTTCACTAAAACGTCCGCAGAGCAAAGATAAGGATTACACCCCAATGTTTCCAAGTAAAGGAAGCTTCCTAGATATTATGAGCATGGTTGGTTCAGAGGAAGATGAAGCTAGAGCTGAGGAAGTTAGACCTATTGAAGATGACCCTTGGTCATCATCTCCGTATATGGATCATTTAGCCGACCAGAGCAATCGACCTAAGCCCTTGTTTGCTTTAGCCAGAGGGCAGAGGGTTGAAGCAAAGCCAGATTCTTTCGACGTTGACATGATGAACACCTTTCTATCTATTTATCTGTCCAAAGGTGATCTCAGCTTAGCCTGCAAACTCTTTGAGATATTCAATGAAATGGGTGTAACCGATCTCACGAGCTACACCTACAACTCCATGATGAGCTCGTTCGTCAAGAAGGGTTACTTCAAAACCGCGCGTGGAGTGCTCGACCAAATGGGTGAGAGCTTCTGCGCAGCAGACATAGCAACATACAATGTAATAATCCAAGGATTAGGAAAAATGGGAAGAGCCGACTTAGCCAGAGCGGTTCTCGACAGACTCACAAATCAAGGAGGATATCTAGACATCGTAATGTACAACACGTTGATCAACGCGCTCGGGAAAGCAAACCGGTTAGACGAAGCAACACAACTGTTTGATCACATGAAGAGCAACGGAATAAACCCGGACGTTGTGAGTTACAACACGATGATCGAAGTGAATAGCAAAGCAGGGAAATTGAAAGAAGCATACAAGTACTTGAGAATGATGCTAGACGCGAATTGTTTGCCTAACCATGTAACCGATACAATCCTAGATTATCTTGGTAAAGAGATGGAGAAATCAAGGTTCAAAAAGGCTTCTTTTGTACGAAACAAACCAAACAATGATTCTTCTTCTTCTCCCTCTTAGTTTCTTTGTAATGTCAGTCAATACAGAACAACTTTTTGTACGAAACAAAACCAAAATCAAAAGATTATATAAACAAAAGATTTTCAGTAGTAGCAAAATCTATCAAAATCAGAAGAGTCCTAANAGAATAGAGAGCCCAAGAAGCATTAACCAAACAATGTGAATCAAAAGCAGAGCTTGTCCAGGAACAGACAAACCAACACCATTACCAACATCACAAGCACCTTGTTNAGCAACACCAACACCNTGACACAAAGCATCTGAACAACCGCACCAGTAAGTAACGCTGTCTTCACCACAAACCGGATCAGCCCGAAAACACTTAACCGGACAAGAACCCGGTTTAGCAATTCCTTNACANATTTCGCCTTTNTTGATCATCTTCTCCGATGGTAATNGAATCTCTCCTCCTTTAACCAAAGTTAGACNCAGAAGAATCGTAAAAAGAAACGCAATTGCGGCCAACGACGGCGAAAAAGTCGACATTGCCATGAATTTTTCGCCGGAGAAAAATTTGATCCGAAACTCTAAAGTAAAAAATCTGAACACGGTTTTGGCTTTTGGGTTTTTGTTTAAGAAGGGAAAGGAATCGGAAGAACGTTGTTTCCTCTCTCTTTTTCCTG